AAGACTTGAATTTGTGCCCATGCACATGTGTATGTGTGTGTTTTCTGGGTTTGTGGCAGACGTATTAACATCTTCGTAATGACATCTACAGTAACACTGACCAGAGTTCGGCGGGTCTTCATCAGAGTGACAGTGATACCGTTCACGGTGACGTAGAGTTTTCTCAAGTATGACACACCCGCCACGCCCCTCTCCTCATTCTTGGCCTCCACAGAAAACCACGGACCTGGACCACAAGAACACACCCATCAAAGCCAAGTCCAGACTGTGAACCGTTTTATGTTTACATGGACTACTAATCCACCTAAAACCGGTTCTGTAAAGTCCTGAATTATCAAGCAACCGACAGTCAAAATGATTCATGTGGTGGTGGGAGAGCACAGCTGCAGCAGAGAGGGAATGGGGCTTTGGCTCAGGCCCTTGTCTGAGTGCTGCTGAAGTGTGAGGACAGCACCAACCTCTCGTGCTCTGTGCAAGTGTGTGTGAGTGTGTGTGTATGCATGAGTGAGAGAGAGAATGTTGTGTTGTGTGTTCCTGTAGCTGTAAACTACAAAGACTAAACAAGCCAGCTAAGTCTGTCACACACCAAGGAGGACAGAAAATGTCAGGATGTAACCGTGCTTCAACCTGTGTTGTTTCTGCATGTTCTGGCCAGTGTGTAGGTGCAGGTTCCCATGAAGGTGTAGAACTTCTTGTCAAAGGTGTTGTAATGAGGATCACCAGAGACCACACAATCCTGAGAGCCTGAAAGAATGGGATAGAAAACAAGATCACTTTAGAGCAGGGATTGTCCGAGCTGTCAGGAGATCAGAAGGTCCGCGACAGACTGATCCACCCTCGCTGTACGAAGGAGCGATACTGCAGGTCTTTCCTTCCTGCCGCTGTCAGATAGCCACTGCTAATGGTACCCATACATCTGTAACACTCCACTACAAATGTCATCATCTTTCAAGATAAGTGCAATACTGCTACTGCTACTCTCGTCATTATGTGCAATAATTATCTTCTGTGCTACTGCTTCTACCCTGCTGTGCCTGAGCCATTGCAATAATGCAATTTTCCCACTGATGGGCAATTAAAGGCATTTTCATTCTTATTACTCTTATTAACATGATCTACCATCCACAATCATTAAACAACACTGTGTGGGAAGTGTAGGAGCTAAAATCAGTGTTCTGTGTGTATGTGCAATCTGACATCCTGTTTATCAGTCCAGCTTCTGCGTACGTGCTCAACATCATGTTGTTCAGTTTAAGCTTATGTAACTTTCAGTAACTCTTAACTTCTTTGACCATATTGGGAAGTGAAAATAGCACCCCTTCATTTCCCAGAATCAAAGGAATGTGGGAGTAAGCGCCAGCAACACGAGTATAACTGATGCTGCGTGTTGAAGGAGAGAAGGGCTTTTGCAGAAGGTTCCAGCCGAGGCATTTAGTACCAGGCTGCAGGCTGTCCCATGAGCTGTTGGTGATGTATTGTTGAATTGTACAAATAAATGCCCCATGCTGTGTTTGGAAAGCTGTCTGTCTCTTGTGTTTTGATAAGGCAAAAGAACCACATTCTGGCGACCACGGAGGGACCACAGAAGCAGTGAGGGGGTGTTGGATCACTGCGGTGGCTGCAGAAGGTCCCCTGTGTTGAACTTGAACAAGAGAAAGTACTAGAGAATACGAGCAGGCCTAGGCCTAAATGATCTGTCTTTTTCCGTTCGCTGGAATGAATGTTACAGCTGTATTTATGCCCCACAATAGCTCAGCTGGTAGATCAATGTAAGCACTGCAGAATTTCTAAAGATGCCTTTTTGTCTTCCTGCAACTGCTCACATGGGCCCACTGAATAAGCCAACCCTGCTCTTTTAGATGAATTATCTCTAACTCAGAATCAGGTTTATTGTCAAATCAGGCGTCACACTCATTAGGGATTAGTGTTGGTGCAAGAGAACGCGTGTAAAATTATGAACTTCTTAATATCTGAACATATGTGCAAAATGAGCAGCCAAGCTTGCGCTAGTCTCTAAAAACTGATTAAAAATTCTTATTTTTCTGGTCAGTCAGTCTTCAGAGTCTGTGAGAATCTAGCCTTAAAGCAGGCCCTCGAGTCTGCCTAGCTGCAGATTAATTCAAAAGGGTGTGTTAGAACCAACCGGAGGGGAAGCAGCCGAGTTCTCCATCCTGCAGTCTGCACTCATGCATCGGGGGGCAGTCAGAGGGCAAGCAGGTAACAAAGGGGGCATCACACCTGCACTTCAGTTTACAATCCTCCACAAAAAACTCCTCTCCGGGCTACAACACACACACACACACACACACACACACACACACACACACACACACACACACACACACACACACACACACACACACACACACACACACACATGGTTGATCATCCAGTAGACAGGTAAAGACAGAGGCTCACTGGAGGATTTTATTAAACACAGCTTGTGCGTAGAACGACATTGGAAACAGCCATATTCACCAAAAGCGTAATAATCTTAGAAGTTGATGTGAGTATTGTTCCAAAGCCGATTTTATGTAATTGTTGTGTTATTGTCAATGTTCTGCATCATCAGTGACACAAAAAATGTTTTTTACTAAATTCCAAAATGTTTCAACTGCGGTTAACCTGGTTTTGACCACAACGTTGCTAAGCGGTCCTTTACTCATATCTTAATACATTTGCAGTGGATTTTAATAGGAATGAATGTCTTGTAAATCCTATTCTAGGGAGAAAAAAAGCACTGGTGCACCTGTGTTGGCATGAAGAATTCAGCCAAAAGAGAATGTAGCTTCAGACAAAGAATTTGGAGTCTTATTTGCTGATATTTGGACATCTTGCCTCTGACTGAATAACAGCAATGCAACTCTACCACTAAATCTGTCATGTTCTGTCTCCCTGTGGTCCCCAGCCCATTCATTTCTTACTTAGCTGTCCCATCTCATTTACTGCTCTAGGCTCCTCAGAATTAGATTCCCTCTTCTTTTGGTTCTTGTCTCTTTAGCTTCCCCAGTTAAAGATCTAGTTTCAGGTTTATTAGTTCTCTTATCTTTAGTCTTCTGTACGTTTATAGTTAGTTAGCATCTCCCCTTAGTTTGTTGTGTTCCTTCCCCAGTCTCTCCTGCCTCCCACCAGCTCACACCTGCTCCCTGTTTCCCTGATCACTGCCTCTGTGTATTTAGGCCCCAGTCTTGTCTTCTGTGGTTGTTGGTTTGATCGGTGTTTTTGTTCACCTGTCAGCATGCCTGTCACCTCCTGAATTTCCAGTTCCGAGTTAGCGTCCTGTGAGGTTTTGAATTTTTGTGTTGGCTACAGTGTTAAGCACATAAGCACAAGCTTATTCGCCAAATATCAGTTCAGAGTACCCACCCTTTTTGGAGTCCCTGGGACGAGTGCTAGATAGTGCGCCATCAGGGGACTCCATTGTCCTGCTGGAGGATTTCAATGCTCACGTGGGCAATGCCAGCATGACCTGGAGGGGTGTGATTGGGAGGAACAGCCCGCCTGATCTGAACTCGAGTGGTGTTTTGTTGTTGGACTTCTGTGCAAGCCGCAGTTTGGCCAAAACGAACACCATGTTCGAACATAAGGATGCCCATCGGTACACTTGGTACCAGGGCAGCCTAGGTCGCAGGTCGATGATAGAATTTGTAATCGTGTCATCTGACCTGCAGCCGTATGTTTTGGACACCCGAGTGAAGAGAGGAGTGGAGCTGTCAACTGATCACCACCTGGTGGTGAGTTGGATCAGATGGCAGGGGAAGATGCCGCGTAGACCTGGCAGACCCAAACGCATAGTGAGGGTCTGCTAGGAACGCTTGGCAGAAGAACCTGTCAAGTTGGTCTTCAACTCCCACCTCCGGCAGAGCTTTGACCGCATCCCGAGAGCAGTGGGGGACATTGACTCCGAGTGGGCCTTGTTCCACACTGCGATTGTTGAGGCGGCTGTTGCTAGCTGTGGTCGCAAGGTGGCCGGTGCCAGTCGTGGTGGCAACCCCCGTACCCGCTGGTGGACACCAGAGGTTCGGGGAGCCGTCAGGCTGAAGAAGGAGGCCTACAGGGCGTGACTGGTCTGTGGTTCTCTGGAGGCAGCAGACGGGTACCGGATAGCTAAGCGGGGTGCAGCAGTGGCAGTTGCCGAGGCAAAATCTCGGGCGTGGGAGGAGTTTGGTGAGGCCATGGAGAAAGACTATCGATCGGCTCCAAAGAAGTTCTGGCAAACTGTCCGGCGCCTCAGGAGAAGAAGGCAGCAACTCGCTCACACTGTTTACAGTGGGGATGGGGAGCTGCTGACGTCAACTGAGGCTATAGTTGGACGGTGGAAGGAATACTTTGAGGAGCTCCTCAGTCCCACCTATGCGCATTCCGAGGAGGAACCAGAGCCGGGAGACCTGGGGATGGACTGTTGAATCTCTGGGGCCGAAGTTGCTGAGGTAGTCAAACAACTACACAGCAGCAGAGCCCCGGGAGGGGATGAGGTTCGTCCTGGGTATCTCAAGGCTATGGATGTTGTAGGGCTGTCATGGTTGACACGTCTCTGCAACATAGCGTGGTCATCAGGGGCAGTTCCTGTGGAGTGGCAGACCGGGGTGGTGGTCCCCATCTTTAAGAAGGGTGACCTAAGGGTGTGTTCCAACTATAGGGGGATTACACTCCTCAGCCTCCCTGGAAAGGTCTACTCCAAGGTACTGGAGAGGAGGGTCCGATTGATAGTTGAATCTTAGATTGAGGAGGAGCAATGTGGTTTTCGTCCTGGCCGTGGAACTGTGGACCAGCTCTATACCCTTGCAAGGGTGATGGAGGGGGCATGGGAGTTTGCCCAACCAATCCACATGTGCTTTGTGGATTTGGAGAAGGCTTATAACCAGGGACACCCTGTGGGGGACGCTCCAGGAGCATGGGGTGGGTGGCTTTCTGTTAAGGGCCATTCAGTCCCTTTACCAGAGGAGCGTGAGTTTGGTCCGCATAGCCGGTAGTAAGTCAGACCTGTTCCCGGTGAGGGTTGGACTCCGCCAGGGCTGCCCTTTGTCACCGGTTCTGTTCATTACCTTTATGGACAGAATTTCTAGGAGCAGCCGTGGTGTGGAGTGTGTCGAGTTTGGTGGCAGGAGAATCTCGTCTCTGCTTTTTGCGGATGATGTGGTCCTCCTAGCTTCATCCAGCTCTGACCTTCAGCTCTTGCTGGGTAGGTTTGCGGCCGAGTTTGAAGTGGCTGGGATGAGGATCAGCACCTCCAAATCTGAGACCATGGTTCTCGATCGGAAAAGGGTGGCTTGCCACCTCCGGGTAGGGAGAGAGGTCCGACCTCAAGTGGAGGAGTTTAAGTATCTCGGGGTCTTGTTCACGAGTGAGGGTAGGAGGGATCGGGAGATCGACAGGCGGATTGGTTCGGCGTCTGCAGTGATGCGGACGCTGAGTCGATCTGTCGTGGGGAAGAGGGAGCTGAGCCAGAAATCCAGGCTCTCCATTTACCGGTCGATCTACGTCCCAATCCTCACCTATGGTCATGAGCTTTGGGTAATGACCAAAAGAACGAGATCGCGGATACAAGCGGCAGAAATAAGTTTCCTCCCTAGGGTGGCCAGGCTCAGCCTTAGAGATAGGGTGAGGAGCTCGGACATTCGGGAGGGACTCGGAGTAGAACCGCTGCTCCTCCGGATCGAAAGGAGCCAGTTCAGGTGGTTTGGGCATCTGGTCAGGATGCCTCCTGGACGCCTCCCCGGGGAGGTGTTTCGGGCATGTCCTGCCGGCAGGAGGCCCCCGGGCCGACCCAGGACACGTTGGAGAGGTTACGTCTCCAATCTGGTCCGGGAACGCCTTGGGGTCCTGCCGGAGGAGCTGGTGGAGGTAGCATGGGAGGGGACGGTCTGGAGCTCCCTACTTGGGATGCTGCTCCCGCGAACCGGACCTGGATAAGCGGAGGAAGACGACGACGATGACGGCTACAGTGTTTTCCTGAGCCAGTGGATCTCCTTCTCATCCTAATAAAAGCATCTGACTTTTGCAACCACCTCTCTGTGTCGTTCTGGGTTCCTGCATTTGGGACCAACCTCCATGAAAGCTGACTAAATCTGTTGGCTTTGCAACACTGATGTTTCTTCTCCACAATTAACACAAACCTCGAGGTGTTGCTGTGTGGTGGAGTTGCCAATGCTAACTATTAGCTTCTACTTGTTGAGACATTCTCTGCTGTTTGCTGAATGCTTAAACACCAGCCTTCCCCATCACAAGTCAGGATGGGTGAGTCCATGAATGTTAAGTGACAGTGTGACGCAGATCTGTCAGCATTTTAAAATCCTAGAGTTTCACATCTGTTTTCTATCGGAAGCTACTGCGGGAGATAGGTGTAGAAGATTATTTTCATGTGCAACCTGCATGTCAATCTCAGAGTGACCGATCATTTTCTAAACTATTAAGGAAAATGTTTTCTTAGTGAAGGATCTCTTTAATGTAAATACTTACCTCATAGTACTGCCCATTTGTATGTTTGCATCCACAGGAGTTCTTCTTCACACACTTCCCCGCACTCAGGACATATCCAGGATCACACACACAGCCCTCGGAGCATGGTCCACTACAGGAGGAAGGTTTTCCAAAGCAGGTCTCCTGACAGGGGTCTGCACAGGCTTCATAGTGGCTATTGGGATGGCAGCTCAGTGCTGGGAAAAAACAAGAGGCTGTCATCAGGTTTTAGTTCCACAATGAAGTGAGGACATAAATCCAGATGCTGACTGGATGCCACCCCCCCCCCCCCCCCCCCCTGAGCTAGCGACACTGCCTTGGGTGGGTGTGTGTGAGAGCTTGAAGTTACTTGTGTTAATGTTTATTGTATTTGTAGCAACTTTTTTTTATTTTTTTCTTCAGTTGGAATCTGCTCTAACTACGCATCATGGCTGTTTGTGATACATGCGTCCTGGTGCTTCTTTTGTGGCTGGGCGCAGTGATTTGCTGGCAACCAGTGCAAACACTGTGAGTCAGGAGCGGTGATGGCCTACCGGTCTACACATATACCCGGGATGAACTTTTAGGTCTGCGGCTGTATGTGACAAGTAAGCCTTATCTGGGCCCAGAGTTGGATGCTACCAGTGTCAAAACTTGGAAACGAGGCTGCAGAGCGGGGATCAAAGTTAAAAACCGGCGGCGATGATACAAGCCGGTTCTTCCCTCTGTGATTATTGGAAACGTGCGCTCACTTTGCAACAAAGTTGATGAGCTTTCTGCGTGTGTTCGCTACGACCGTATGTACCGGCAGAGTAGCCTGATGTGCTTCTCAGAATCTGGGATGTCGGAGAAGATAACGGAGTCCCACGTGAAGATTGATGGATTTACGCTTCGCAGGATGGACAGAGACCTCAGCGTGACAGCTAAGAAGCAAGGCGGAGGGGTGTGTATATATGTGAAGAACGCCGGTGTCCTCCGAACCGTGTCGCTGTTAAGGAGCGGGTGTGTGACAAGAACATGGAGCTGCTGGTGGTAAGCTGCCGTCCCTACTACCTCCCGAGGGAGATCTCCCACATAAATGTAACTGTTGTTTATATCCCACCGTCGGCCAATGGAAAGCGAGCTATAGAGACAGTTTCTAAAGTGACACATAAGTTACAAAGCTCTTCCTCGGATGCACTGTTCATTATTACAGGGGATTTTAACCACTGTTCTCTCTCTTCTACGCTCCCGTCGTTCAAACAAATGGTTAAATGTCCCACGTGGGGGAAGCGGATCATTGACCTATTTTATACGAACATTAAGGATAGTTTTTATTCACCAGCCTTACCCCCACTTGGATATTCTGATCACAATCTTGTATTGTTGAGGTCCAGGTGTACACCCGCTGTACAGAAACAGCCGGTTACCTTTAGGACGATACGCGTGTGGACGGAGGAGGCGTGTGAAACCCTGAGGGGATGCTTCGAATGTACAGACTGATCTGTTTTTACTGAAGGATGTGACTGTGATGATGTTGATGACATTTATTAGTACTTGGCTGTTTCTCAATTCGCGTACTTGCCTTGTGAAACGTCATCAGTATTGGCCCAAATACTGTTCCAATCCTAAGAACACTTTTATGCAAGTATGCTCACAGTATCCCGATGTGTTCTTGCACCGCCCGTTATATCATGGATCATCCCTCTGTGGACTTGGTCAGCAAGGTATCCCACAGTGCATTACTGTCTTTGTTCTCCCGTACTCGGCAGAAAGGACCTTCTGGTGTCCTTGTCAAGAACATACTTGTCAAGTACACAAGAACGTACAAGCAAGTACTCAAACGTAAGTACTCGTACTTGTTCTTATACTTGGTTAGGAAAAAATCTGGTATCATTGCATCTCTAATATATTTTGTTTGAAAATGCAGCACAAAGAGAAAAGTCCAACAAAGTTAAGCAGGTGTTGAGGTGTCCAGTGGAGTTCACCAGGCCGTTGCGGCCTTCAAAGTGTCATTCTGTTCAACTACAGAGCCTTTCTGCAACAAAAAAAATCTTCTCACAGTTTTATTTGGACATTATCAATTGATGAGCTAGTAAAAGGGAAATGTTCACAATGAAACTATTTCTGTGCTTCCCATTCGTTTTGGGAAAGTATGATTGTATGAAAATCTACCAAACTTGATCAAATCGACTAGATTTCATTTGTGGGACCTAGATTTGTGTGATTCAGCACCTGATCCCTGCCAGAGTCCAAAGACTTTGGAGGTACTTTGGCAGAAAAGAAGTAAAGTACTTTTACATTTAGAAAGTCAAGAGTTATCTGTGTTAGCTCCTACCGAAACATTCAAAACAAAAGACGGGTCATTCGCCGATCATCGTCAATTTACTTCTTTCATCACAGTCTTCTCCACTTCTGTGTTGACCTAATACTCACGACAGAACGTTGTATTCCTCCAGGGCCCGATGTTTACCCCGCGGTCCTGGCACTCGTTAACATAAGCCTCGATGGCTTCGCACAGGATGGGTCTGGCACCATCCAACTCACACAGGTCAAATACACAGTCTCTGAAGTAATTCTGCAAACAAGCAAACAACTGGCTGATGTGGCAACAAACTCAAATCAAAAATAGAATTCCAACAGTTTCTTTTGACTGTTGGCTCACTGTAGACCACAGCAAATGTACTAAATTCAAATGTTATGTTTACGGCATTCAGTAGGTCCGGGTGATGGATGAAGATCTGTTTCCAGCTAAACAACAAACAACGGTCCAGATACTTGTGGAAATTTTACTAAATCAGCAGACACCGAGCTCCATGCAGTGACAGGTTTTCTCTAGCTTGCTCGAGTCTGAATGAGGATGGACTTACATTGGGGTTGACTTTGGGATGGCACACGGCAAATGGACCTTTTTTGTCCAGCAGGATGCCACAGTATCCAGAGCTCTCATAGAGTTCCTTCTCTTCTTCATCACACCCAGGAATGGTGGTATTTGGTTTCTTATTACACCTACAGACCAGGAAAATGCAAAACAATAAATACATTAGGCAATGGTTGTATGCCTCGTTTGTCTGAGTGCCCCTGCATGGACTGGAGACCAGCATAGGGCGTCCTCCGCCTCTCACCTGGTGACTCATCACCACCAGCGTGTGAATGGATGAATGATACACCGTAGTGTAAAGTGCTGAGCGGGTCATTTATCATAAAGGAGATGGACAGAAGCTCCCTGAGAACTCAGAACTAAGTGGTCATGAAGATGGATGTGTTCACAACAGGATGTAAGGATTCAAAGCAAAACATTTTAGGGTTTCAGGAATCAACCAGACCAGTTAAACTTAAAATAAAAAGAAACTGAGAAGAAACAGTTATTTCAGAATTAAATTGATTTATGTTAAAGACCAAGTTTGCTAGTATTTTCAGTTCATTTGAAGGTTTCTAGTGTAAATCAATGTCTTGTGAGTTGATTTAAGTAGTGGCACGGGCCACCGGGGCCCCCCTCTAACGTCCGGCCTGAAGGCGGGGCACGTTGGCAAGCGCCTGGTGGCCAGGCTTCCACCCATGGAACCTGGCTGGGCACAGCCCGAAGAGGAGACGTGGGTTCCTCTTGCCATGGGCTCACCACTTGTAGGAGGGGCCAAAAAGGGGTTGGGTGCAACGTGTGATGTTGCCACCTTGGCGGTCTAATCCTCGGCTACAGAAGCTGGCTCTCGGTACCTAGTTAGGATACCTCCTGGATGCCTCCCGGGTGAGGTTTTCCAGGCACGTCCAACTGAGAGAAGACCTAAATGAAGACCCAGGATACGCTGGAGAGACGATGTCTCACGGCTGGTAGCGCGACTCATGTTGCGAATGACCGCAGTCACCAATTCTTGTTATGTGTCTTACCCACGTATGTCTGATCTTTGAATTGTGTGTGCTGAAACTGAATTTCATTTCTCTGTATGTCCTGCACATGTGGTAGAAATGACAATAAATGACTTTGACTTTGACTTTGAATGCCTTAGGATTCCCACGGAGGAGCTAGTCCAAGTGGCTGGGGAAAGGGAAGTCTGGGCCTCCCTGCTTAAGGTTGGTTTATGCTTGACGCGTTCGCGAGGTCCGCACGGCTCCGCGCGGAAAAGTTGCGTCATTTTAACAACCACGCCCCTCCACCGCGCCTCCGCACGGCCCAGAATTTCTGCAACGCGCACCTCAGAAAATTTCTAACCACGTGGACGGACGGACGGACGCGGAAAAACATGGCGGACCGGCAAGAACTAGTATGGCAGAGGTTGGTAAATACAGACATTTGTATGATTCAGCTCTCAGAGATCACCGTGATCAACATGTTGTTAATAATTCTTGGAGCGAAATAGCTCGTACTGTCAGAAAAGACGAGGACGCTGTTAAAAAATGCTGGAATGCCATGTTGTAAACAGTAATTTCTACTTCTGCTATGGTGTAGTGTTGGATGCATGCCGTAGAGCTCCATGCTGCCCCCTACAGTTTGGGAGAATATTGGCTCACCGCAGAGACAAGCCGCACGAACCATAAACGCTGCAAGTTGTGAAGCATGTTCCATCCGCGAGCCGCATCACCAAGCGGAAAGTGAATGCGTCAAGCATAAACCAAGCTTTAGGCTCCTGGCCCCGTGACCCGACCCCGGATAAGCAACCAAAGATGGATGGATGGATTTCCTGATATTCGGACATCTCTCCTCTGATTGGCAAACAGCAACACAAGTCTATCACTGACTTAATTTGCTTTGGAATGTTGATGTTTTATCTCCACAAAAAACACAAGCTTGAAGGAGTTCTGCCATGTTGTGGAGTTGCTCATGCTAACAGTTAGCTTCTACTAGCCAAGATGTGCCCTGCTTGATCCTGGCTGTGTAATCAACAACAACCTTCCCATTGCGAGCCAAGAAGGGTGAGTAGCTCTGTCTGGCTTTTCTAATCGGAGATCTTTCCCGTCTATAACTGATGGCTAAAGTAAGAAATAGGGGTTGAAGACAATATTTATATTCCGCCTCCATGGAAAACTCAGTGACTGACAGTAGTTAGAAAATAACACATAAAAAGCGGTTTCTCAACTTGCTACTTGTTCACTGAGAAACCATGTAATTATTGACCTATTTGAATTGTAGCTTGACGCAAGTTGCCAATTCATGTTGACCGTAAAGGTTTTCTTCAGCTCTCATTGCCTGCGTTAGGGACAGAAAGGAGAGAGATGGAGGAAAATGTTTGAGTTAGAAAAAGCCAGTCTCTTTTACGCCACAGGGACATTTAAGCCTGATTCATGCTTCTCCGTCTGCGTCAGCGCGGAGACACGCAACGTCCTTGCGGGCCTGCCGGAGAGCTCCGCAAGGACGGACAGAGTCGAGCTCTCTTTTCTAAATATCCGTCAGTCGAGACGGACAACGCAAGCTTGTGATTGGTCAGGACGCAGCTGTCGTCTACACCGCCGCCATTGCGTCCTCAAAAACACAAAGAGAGCCGAGGATAACTAGCGGCAGACACGGAGCAAGTTGAAGAATACCTCACAAAAAAACTCTAAAAACATGAACGTTTAATTCCCCGTGACTGGAGGAGTGAAAAGATACACAGCAAGCGTTTTATTTGTGGACGGAAATGACAGGAAATGTGGGTTTAGAGGTGGCGAGCGCATGAAGAGGTGGAGGAGGATGAGAGACAAATTTGTCTGTGTTAAAAAGTCTCTTTCTCTTTCACTTTCTTTCTCTTTCTCTCTTTCTCTTTCACTTTCTTTCTCTTTCTCTCTTTCTCTTTCACTTTCTTTCTCTTTCTCTTTCACTTTCTTTCTCTTTCTCTTTCACTTTCTTTCTCTTTCTCTTTCACTTTCTTTCTCTTTCTCTCTTTCTCTCACTTTCTTTCTCTTTCTCTTTCACTTTCTTTCTCTTTCTCTTTCACTTTCTTTCTCTTTCTCTCTTTCTCTTTCACTTTCTTTCTCTTTCTCTTTCACTATCTTTCTCTTTCTCTTTCACTTTCTTTCTCTTTCTCTTTCACTTTCTTTCTCTTTCTCTCTTTCTCTTTCACTTTCTTTCTCTTTCTCTTTCACTTTCTTTCTCTTTCTCTTTCACTTTCTTTCTCTTTCTCTTTCACTTTCTTTCTCTTTCTCTCTTTCTCTTTCACTTTCTTTCTCTTTCTCTTTCACTTTCTTTCTCTTTCTCTTTCACTTTCTTTCTTTCTCTTTCTCTTTCACTTTCTTTCTTCTCTCTCTCTTTCTCACTTTCTTTCTTTCTCTCTCTCTTTCTCACTTTCTTTCTTTCTCTCTCTCTTTCTCACTTTCTTTCTTTCTCACTTTCTTTCTTTCTTTCTTTCTTTCTTTTCCAGTGTATTGTGTGGGTTTACATGAATCCTGGCTTAGTGCTCACTCTGGATCAGTATTCCAGCTGTGTCCAAAGTCATTGGCGCTGTTTGTCAAGGTTCCATCTGGTTTGCGGAAGTCATCTTTATCATGTCCATTATAATCTCCACAAAGTCCACACAGTTTGTTCTGATAGCTGTGAACCACAGAAAAAGACCAAGGTAAGATTTCATAAAACAAAAACACAAGATCATGACAGTCAAGCCAAAAGTGGATCTGATCTGAAGAATGTGTATTTGGACCAAATCTTCAAAGATAATGTATTGTGTGCAGCTGTCACTCACTCCTTGATCACTTTGATGTCCATGAAGTGGTTTCCATCGTACCGAACTGTTACACCAAAGTTCATAGACGCGGTGTAATGTTTTCCTGACTTAAACACAGAAACTCCAGTGGCTGGAGTAACTGGTAAGTTGACATTGGTCCCATTCACCTGTTTGAAAAGAGCATGTGTGGTTACAAATACACTACTGACTCCAGAGGCATGTTATATGTTCACTGGAATAAAACTCTAAGAAGTACAGTTACTGTTGTAGCAAAAGCTTATTGAGTCATTTTCCAGAATCAATTTCCCACTCAGCAGGTCATGAAGCTCTGCAGAAGTCTGATAATGAAGTAGATAATATATCTAATGTGAAGCCTAGGACATTTCGAGCCCCCAATGCTTTCTCAACTCTTTAACATAAATCCCAATTGCCCAAGGGGAATGTCTCACATTTACTCTACTGTAACTACATACTTGCTTAGTGTGGGGGTTGCTGTGAAGCCTGACACAAAGTGAGTCCATGCAATCTGCTGGGTTTCTTTACAAAGGAAACTTTTGGCATAATGAACTGAACTCAGTTGTAATGTTTCCTTTGTGAAGTGACTTAAGACAACTCGTGAGCTGGCGCTATATACATGTACATATACATATATATATATATATATATACATATACATATACATATATATATATATATATATATATACATATATATACATATATATATATATATATATATATATGTATATATATGTATATATATACATATATATATATACATATATATATATATATACATATATATATATGTATATATATATATATGCGTAAGTATGTATATATATATATATATATATATATATGCGTATGTATATATATATATATATATATATATGCGTATGTATGTATATATATATATATATATATGTATATACTTATGCATATATATATATATGCATAACTATGTATATACATACATATATATGCATAAGTATGTTTGTATATGTATATATATATATATATATATATATATATATATATATATATATATATATATATATACATATATATATATGTATGTATATATATATCTACATATATATATATATACATATATATATATATATATATATATATGTATATATATATATACATATATATATATATATATGTATATATATATGTATATATATATACATACATATATATATACATATACAAACATACTTATGCATATATATGTATGTATATACATAGTTATGCATATATATATATATATATATATATATATGCATAAGTATGTATATATATATATATATGCATATATATACACATACTTATGCATATATATGTATAAATATGCATAAGTATATATATATACATATACATACATAGTTTTGCATACATATGTGTGTGTGTGTGTTTATATGTATATACACATTAATATATATGTATACACACACACACACACACACACACACACACACACACACACACACACACACACACACACACACACACACACACACACACACACACACACACACACACACAAACTGAATCAAATGATTTTTAAAATCTGTCTGTATTGTTCTATTTCAGATTGTACTACATAGAATTTGCACTTTGTTTAAACTATTCCACTGTGCATAAACCTAGTTTGGACTTCCTACAGACGTGGTATTGACAGACGGATTCAATATAGACATGATCTGAATGTCCATGTGACGTTGACTGTTTGCAGGGATTGGGTACATCAACAGACAGATACATTATAATGGCAAAGCTGATTGAACAGTGGAAGCATTATTAATAATTTCATAGTGCTATCTGCAGGCAGTCCCAGCTGAAATAAAGTAAGAGTTTAGGTTGCCATCGAAATCATGAAGGTGTCAGATCTTATGTGAAGATGCTAATGTACCACCACAATTCTTCTTTGTGCAGGACTAATGAATTAGTTAGGAGTAGTAGCTAACATTTAATTAATGTAAACTGTAAAACAGCTTAGTTCAGTAAAGAACTGATATCTGTTACACCTGGGAGGAAAAAGCAATCAAACACAAGCACCCAGCTTCTACAATTTCTTACCTGCACAGTGCCACCTTTGAGAATAGAGATCTTCACAGATTGTACATATACATGTACAGCCTTGACGTAGGAGATTCTAGGCGTGTTAAACCGATTTTCATTGTCAGTATGAACTTCAAAGTATGGCAGAGTTGTGTCATTACAGAGTCCAGACATCAGATAGCTGCAGTTCCCCATAAAATCATAATAACGCTTGTCGAATGTTGTGTAGTGGGGATCCCCAGATGATATGCATGTTGATGTACCTAATGGGATTAGAATGACATTCAACAGTGATTTGATCATTTAATTTAACATCCATATTCTAACATTTATGGCCATCTATGGGCAGAAATGCAATAGGTAAAGTAAATTATATATTAATTATTAAGTAAAGAACCCCACAAAAATGACAGTTGTAGTTCATCACCTTTAAAGGAGTTAGGAGCTGTTTAAATATGATAAAACGACCAGTTTCTGTACACAAATGTTCTACGTGAAACATTATTACCTTTAGGATAGCAGCTGGAAACGCCGTTAACCTCTTTGCACTCCTCAGTTGGATCACAGGAATTATCAACACACTCCAAGGTGTAGTTTCCAGCACAGCGGCAAAGTTTTGTACAGCCATCGCCAGAAACAATCTCCCCAGGCTAAACAATAATCCAAAATATATCATTGCCAAGCATGTGTCAGGTACCACTTCAAACAATCATGTCATATTTATTTCCAGGGAAAACTCTACACCCATTTAAATGGGTGACATATCACCTCATAATAGTTGTTGTTGTCATCAAAGCAGCCACATTTATCCAGAGGCACGCAGCGGCGACCCTTGAAGACAAATCCAGGTTTGCAAAAGCAGCCACTTATGCAGGAGCCAGAACAGTTAGTTGAGGGCTCCATACATGTAGGAATACAAGCTGGTCCACAGTCTATATACTCCGCATCAGGAGGACATGGTTCTGTGAACATAAAGTACTGTCTCTTTAAATAATCTGTAAAACAACTATATATGAAGAAAATGTATTAAATACCAATGTTATGGAAGATAAAAAACACTTCATACTTGGTGGGGTTGGTGTAGTTGGTTTGGGCGTTGTTGGTTTAGGAGTTGTTGGTTTGGGAGTTGTTGGTTTGGGAGTTGTTGGTTTGGGGGTTGTTGGTTTAGGAGTTGTTGGTTTGGGAGTTGTTGGTCCAGGAGTTGTTGGTTTGGGGGTTGTTGGTTTAGGAGTTGTTGGTTTGGGAGTTGTTGGTCCAGGAGTTGTTGGTTTAGGAGTGGTTGGTTTGGGAGTTGTTGGTTTGGGAGTTGTTGGTTTGGGAGTTGTTGGTTTAGGAGTTGTTGGTTTGGGAGTTGTTGGTCCAGGAGTTGTTGGTTTGGGGGTTGTTGGTTTAGGAGTTGTTGGTTTAGGAGTTGTTGGTTTGGGGGTTGTTGGTTTAGGAGTTGTTGGTTTGGGAGTTGTTGGTCCAGGAGTTGTTGGTTTGGGGGTTGTTGGTTTAGGAGTTGTTGGCTTGGGGGTTGTTGGTCCAGGAGTAGTTGGTTTGGGGGTTGTTGGTCGAGGAGTAGTTGGTTTGGGGGTTGTTGGTCGAGGAGTTGTTGGTTTGGGAGTTGTTGGTCCAGGAGTTGTTGGTTTGGGGGTTGTTGGTTTAGGAGTTGTTGGTTTGGGAGTTGTTGGTTTGGGGGTTGTTGGTTTGGGGGTTGTTGGTTTAGGAGTTGTTGGCTTGGGGGTTGTTGGTCCAGGAGTAGTTGGTTTGGGGGTTGTTGGTCGAGGAGTAGTTGGTTTAGGAGTTGTTGGTTTGGGGGTTGTTGGTTTAGGAGTTGTTGGTTTGGGGGTTGTTGGTTTAGGAGTTGTTGGTTTGGGGGTTGTTGGTTTAGGAGTTGTTGGTTTGGGGGTAGTTGGTTTAGGAGTTGTTGGTTTGGGGGTGGTTGGTACTGGAGTTGTAGGTAGAGCTGAAATTGAAAGACAAACATTTTACCAAGAACAGCACAAACAAACATGATACTATTAACTTTATTGTGTCTTACCCTTGCAGGTCCGGATGCACACTGCATCGACAGCAATGTCTGTCTCAGGGGTTTCTCCATAGTGACCCACGATTGCAAACTACAACATATTTTTCAATAAACAATAGATTTGAACAATAGGACATAAGACTATAAACATATGCATTTATACAAAAAACATCCAAATATGTTTGGACAGCAATGGCTCCTTTAGTTGTTGTTGCTCTGTGTACAGTGGGATGGGAAGGTTTGGGCAGCCTTGTTAATCTTCTTGATTTTGTTGATTATTACGATAAAATTTTTCATTTAAACATATCATATAGGAGACACATCTGTTGGTGGAGAAAAGGCTTCCTATGCATCACCCTCACATACAGCATCTCCTTGTGTAAAGTGCACCGAATAGTTGAACGATGCACAGTGACTCCATCTGCAGCAAGATGATGTTGTAGGTCGTTGGTGATGTCTGTGGGTCGACTCTGATGGTTCTCACCTTTCTTCACTTCTGTTTATCAGAGATGTTTCTTGGTCTGCCACTTGGAGCCTTAACTTGAACTGGTCTTCCATTTCCTCAATAGAGCTCCAGACGTCATGTGACTCTCAGAGAGTAGACGCCATGTTGGCAGGCAATAAAGGTAAACAAAATGAACGGGATCGGCTTGGATTTTACTCCGTGGAGTTTACTTCACACTTTAAAACCGAAGTTTTAAAGTTTTATATAGTCAGAAATTAAATAGACTAAACATCTCCGACCCATACCATGCCTCTGGGATACATTTTAAAAACGCCAGAAGCTGTCGGAGCGCACCTGGCCAGGGATTTCCCCAGACGAGCTGGCCCAAGTGGCTGGGGAGAGGGAAGTCTGGGCCTCTCGACTTAGGCTGCTGCCTCGCAACCCGACTCCAGATAAGCAGATGAAAATGGATGGATGGATGGACAAATTACATAGATTTACATGTAAGTAGTTTAAACAGAGTGCTGTGCTGTTTGAGTGTATAAACTGAACTCCAAAGCCCCCTTCAAACAGGCCATGAAAAACGGAAATGTTCGGGACTCTCCTTAAGAGACCTTTGTGTCTGAATACAAACATCCGGATAACCTTTCTGTAATTAAACCGGACGACGCCCCTAGTAACAGGACTGGACTTGTCACGGACAGGGTGGCTGCTTCAGACTGGTGAGGTTGAGTTCCGGACAGGGAGGAGGGGAGGAGGAGGGAACCGGGGTGCGCTGTGCGCACCTAGATGTCTCACTCCTGTAGCATGCGGCGAACCATGGCAGCTCGCCTCCTACAGTACCGTCTCCTAGACGCGCGACGGAGCGCTTCACACTGCTTCCGTGATTCCTTTAACCATTGAGCTGCATCATCCAGATCGCTTATGCATCTTCGTGTGTGCAGAATTATGCTTAACATAAGTCCGACCAGTGAGAGGAATTCTAGCTCTTCGTCGGCCATGTTTGACTGAATAGCTTTGTTTGGGTAAATGACGCATGTACGCCCACCGCACTATGCTTACGCAATATCCGGGTACAGCCTCCCACCCCCTCCCCCTCAGACATCTGGAACTTTTCCCTGCTGTGTGAAGGCAGCCGAAAGGACAAGTTCAGGTACAAAAGTGGTGTGTCTGAAAACACAGTTTTGGCTAAAAAACCGGACTGAATTGTCCACACTTATTCCAGAATGTCAGTCTGAAAAGGGCTTAGGAGAAATCACTAGTCTGATTTATTTCCGTGAATAAAATAAATATGTCAGGCAGGAGCGTCTCAGGATCTGTCTGAGAGCTGTCTCGGTGAGACAGATAATAGCAATCCAAAGTGCTTTTTATGTGTGATCTGACAATTGATCAACCATTGCTTAAAAATTAAATACAGCTTAGCCGGTTAATTGCTGTGATCATAAAACACGTAAACGGCAGCACGCAGAACTCACGAGGCAACGTTTTACGTGACGTTTACTTGTTGCTATGAGTAATAAGACAGAAAAAGCCACGCCAAAATAAGTTTAGGAAGCCCACTAAGAATCATAATAAAAGCAGTTAAAATAAATACCATACGCAGTTGAGGAAACGGTTTAAGTACCTGATATGAAGTGGTCACTGCATAAGCGAAAACCTTTACTCTCGGGGTCCCACAGCTTCATTTTAGCCCGGTCACTAGCGCGTTTTATTACAATGATCCAACGTTTGCGGCATTCCGGATCTTGGGGAATCCTGTAGCAGGCTCTTCCCTTATCTCATCCGCGTCTGTTCTGGCATCCTGGGGCACAACAGGAATCTATCATATTTCCTGTTTGATTGAGTTTTCTGACAATAAAAAATAGTCCAGCTGCGGGCTTCTGCCTGCCAAGATGGCGCCGTTTCGATTTGAACTGTTGCATGTCGGGAGAAGTGACGTCAACTCCCAGAGCTCAATAAGCTCCCCACTGTGGAAACTGACAGCTGAAATCTCTGAGACAGCTTTCTGCATCTGTGGTGTTGTTGGAGTATTTACAGTGGATTTGTTAATTTATTGAATTCTGTGAATAATTAAATAAATACTTTTATCTCACAGTCTTAAAACCCTCGATCCTGAGATCTCACATAAAGTTGGTGCTGAAATCCCACGAGATCCCGCAAAGGTGGCAGAAATCACTTAGACTGAACACAGAGATATGTCCTTTTTGTTTCTGTAAAGGCTTTAGGTAAAAGCTAAAGGAACTGGACCAGAGGGATTTGAAGGACTTAAGAACCTCTTTTCATGACAAGCAACCAACGAGGTATGTATCTCACTTTGTTCATCTTTGTTTATCACAGCCTACCTGTCAGCCTGACTTGTACCTTAATTGTTATGCTGTACATTGCAGTAATATGTATTTAGCATTTTCTGTGTTTCATTTGAAGTTGTTACAGCGTTGTGGCGCGTACCGTCCAAAGATGTTGTGGAATGATGTTGATGGCAAAGCTTCAGGTGGACATGCTCGTGAACAAACGCCCGTTTCTATGACTCAACCTGTGTCTGTGATGTCGTGAACGATCTTTGTGTTCAGCTCATGTGAGAGTTGTGTTGAGACCCCATGTTGCTGCTCTTCAGAGAGTAAATACTCTTTCTCATAACTACATTCACCTGTGTTCAGAGGTCAACGGTCACCGAGCTTACCAACCCAGATCTGAGTTCCAGTAATTAGTTCCAAAGGTTTTTGAATCAATAAACTTACAACAGAAACCTAATTTATGCACCTACCTAATGTTGTTTAAACAATTATTGCACATTTTCTGTAAATCCTAAAAACTTCTTTTCACTTCTCAAATGTCACTGTGTGAGTCTCCCATATGATATATTTAACAGATTTTTTAATTGTAACAACCAACTATTTATACAGGAAAATCATAAAGGTTAGCAAGGCTGCCCAAACCTCTGCATCCCACTGGATTTGGGTAAGACACTTCGCCTATCTTGTGAATGCTGGTTTTGGTTCGAGGGGCCAACGGGGCCAAATGTCAGCCTTGCTTCTGTCAGACTGCCCCACGGCAGCTGTGGCTACAATGTTTTACCCCCTCTAGAGTGTCACTGGATGATGTGGTCTTTGTAAAATGCTTTGGGTTACATCACTATACAAACCTATTGTGTAATTATTGTCATCATTTACCTGAACTTGGGAACTTCCCACAACACGGACTTCTGCTGGCTTCCAGGCTTGACCCTGGTTTCCCATGACACTAAATAGGACTGGCCCAAGACCCCCACCTGGTAAGTTGAAAATAACAAAGTTGTTGTTATTTGGACGTGATTCATGGCACTGACATCTCTCCTCTCTTCGGTCTTTCTCACAAATCCCTCCATAAACTCCAACTTCTCCAGAACTCGGCAGCCCGCATCATTACCAGAACTCCCTCCTTCCACCACATCACCCCTGTTCTTCAGCAGCTCCACTGGCTCCCAGTCACTTCCACAAATTCAAAATTCTGCTATATACATTCAAAGCCATCCATAACCTAGCTCCACCGTACCTCTCAGACCTCCTTCATCCCTCAACCTCCACCCGTTCCCTCAGGTCCTCCTCCTCCATCCACCTCTCTGTCCCACCTTTCCGTCTGGTCACTATGGGGAACATGGCCTTTAGTCGCTCTGCTCCCCAGCTCTGGAACTCCCTCCCTCCTGACCTTTGTGATGACTCCCTCACTCTCTTTAAAACCAGACTCAGAACCCACCTGTTCCGTCTAGCATTCCAATGATTACTCTCTTTGCTCCAATCTGTCTGTTTTATGATGTTCTATCGTTTATTGTTGTGTATTTTATCTCTGTCTGTAAAGTGTCCTTGAGTGTTTAGAAAGGCGCTGTTGAAACAAAATGTATTATTATTATTATCTTGATCTTACCTGAGGTGACGGTATGGACAGTGAGCTTCATGGTTGTGCTGGTACCATACAGGTAATAGTGGAAGCTGAGCTCCAAACATCCAGAGGTAAATGGTATGACAGGACTTCTGATTTCAGCACTGACTCCAGGAGAGGCATCAGCGGAATCCATCAACATGTACAATCCCACTGTTAAAACACAAGTAAGAGAATTTTTACCTGTTAGGATCAAATCAAACAATCAAAAGAATATAATGCAGCAGTCCAGCTTCAGATAAAGGCATTTAGCAAAATCAAAGGGTTTTCTGTTAATCACCCCAGTCTGTTTGATGATATGGCTTCACTCAGAGTTGTAGCTGTAGTGTAAAGAATATAAAAGACCTGAGCAGTTATTAGAATGATAATATTAACACATTTAATGTTTAGAACAAAACTTGAGTAGTTTTAACGGGTTAAACATTTAACTACGATGGTCTCAGGTTCTGTAACCACACAGCTAAAACCACAATGTGTTGTGATCTATTGAAAGCTGCATCTTCTGCACAACTCAAACGGTTTCAAAAGTAGTTTAAATTTCAATGCCAAACACATGGTGGCGATAGAGAGCTGAATCCTGCCTGTAAAATTTACACAACTGTAAAGACTAAATGGACAGCATGGACATAACCATACTTTTAGCTAGCAAGTGAAATAATGTTAGTTCTGCAGTCGTTTTGTTGCAAAAAACAAACAAACAAACAAACCAAAAAGATCTGCTTACATCCAGGTTTAGAGAAGTCATCGTCAGGTCCAGTGCCTTCAGTGCTTGTTGGCCCAGCCCACTGATCAAAACCAAACACTTCAGGACTCTCAGTGTGAGTTGTCCATTCACACAGGTCACCGAGGGTGTCAAAATCACAGCCAGAGATGCAGGCTAAGAACAGAGACAAAGAAAACATGAACGATATTTCTGTGGAGCACGACTGCATTATTTTTCCTAACTTTTTCTGAACTAACTCTTGTTTTGATCGGCCAGGTCCAATGGAATGCCAAAATTCTTATTGCCGTGATTTCCAGTAACATTTAGCATATTGACAGCTTCTAAAACTTCATTTTCTCACGGCCTGAGTCAAAGGAGATGGCAAAGTTGATCTGTGATCCATCCTTTAATATTCTTCCTAAGTGATGGAAAAAACTCACAAGTTCTAGAAGTCATGAATCGTTGCTGCTTTGAAGCTCGGACTGCTTTAATCGTTTCTTTGTTTTTGATCTTCAATAGTTTATTCAACATGTTAGAATGAACATACTCAATCTTTGTAGCAAATTTCACAGTTTCAGATGCAGTTTCGGGTTCAAATATGGTGTAACACATGGGTAGACAACTCCCGTTGTCGAGGGCCTGTTTCCAGCATGTTTTAAGTGTTTCCCTGCACAGGTGAAGTCAGTTCACCAGGCTCATCAAGCTCTGCAGACGCTGTTAATCACTTGCTGATTCAAATCAGGCGTGTATTCTGGTTTCTGACGCTTACTGTATCTCCTGTGCCACCATTACCTTGTCAGTGTGTGTGTGTGTGTACCCGTCTATACATCAAAGTGAGGACATTTCGCTGGTCCTCACTTTGGTACAATATGGTGAGAATTAGGTTTTAGGTAAGGTTATGGTTAGGAATCCACTGGTTATGGTTAGAGTTAGGGTTAGTTGAACTCACCCGGACATTCTCCCTCAGTAATAAGAATGTTATCCAGAGCTGAGTCGCAGGACGGAGTGCCACCTCTCCGAGCCTCAAACACCACCTGCAGACAGAAGAATCACATCAACAAGTAAATTTCCTCCTTACGTCATCGTTCCTCTTTGTCTTTGTGATTTCTTTCATCAGGTTTTCTCAGATAAACAACATGTTCTTTTCTTTTTATAGAACTTCCATTTAATTTGCGTAAATCACATTTTAACACACACAAAAAAAACTGCGGACGTCACACACAGCAAGGCTCAGTTTCTCATAAAAAACAAAGACAACGGCGGCGTTGGCTGCGGCTCTTTCCTCTGTTCTAAATGACTTGGACTCGTCTTTCAAACCACAACAAGAGGAACCTCTAACGGCCTTTCTTCCACAAAAAAGATGTTTGCGCCATCGCAGACGCCATTTTTGACAACAGCTAAAAAAAACGACAGCATCGCATAGTTCTTTTTTCTGATTGGTTATGTTTGAGTTGGCTAGTCCCGCCCCTCATGTGCCTCTGCCTGTGAGTAACCCGACTAGTTCTCTGTGCAGCAGAATTAAACAGAGGACGAGTCTGGCAGGCATGGACGTAATTTTGGGGGGGGCAGGGGGGACATGTCCCCCCCCCCCCCCCCCACTTTTTCCAAAATCAAGTTTTGACCGCTGCACTTTTTACCATCCAAAAACAATATTACGCTATATTAAATTGACACTGGTTGAGCTCTAAGACAAAGCGGAAAACAGCCGTTTGTGTTGAAAACTGTTTCCCATTGAGCATACTGTAAAGACCCCCCCCCCCCCCCCCCCCCACTTCTAAAGTGAAAATTACGTCCATGCTGGCAGGCCACGCTAATAAATGAGGCCCTGGAACAGGGATATGAGACACTGTGTAGAGTTAATGTAGAAATATTCAGGACTTTTTAAATTGCTACTTAATATTCCATCTAATGACATTAACTGCATTCATGCTGTCATACAGATGTTTCCATTATATCAGCCTCTAAAGATGTTAGCGTAGGTATTGATCTGTTACACTCACAGTGACGCTCTGACTGCTGGGTTTTGACACAGTGATGGAACCCTTCAGCCAAGATGGACTCTGAATGCCTGTTCTATTCCAGACCTCTTCTTCTCCACCAGATGTTTTTACCAGAACCCTCAATACATTTTGATGGTCCGAGCCATACATGTAGTACTGAAACTGGACACAGATCTTAGATGCTTCTGAGGAGATGGTAGGGCTCAACAGACGAGCGTTTTGACCATTAGAAACGTTGTCACATTCATGGTATATGTAGTAGCCCTCTGAAAACAGAAACAGTTTTGGGACACTTATCCACAATGTCAACAACGTTGTTGTTACAGAATAAAAGCAAAGCATACGGACTTCCATCAGGGTAGTCTCCATCAGGTCCGGTTCCTTGTGTTGGAGTTGGACCCTTGTGTCGAGTCCAGTCGCTCTGGTCATTGGTGTCTTGTCTGAAGTTGCAAAATGGATCACTGTCCTGGTTAAAGTCACAGGAGGTCAGGACAACCTCTGGAGAAGAGCACAAGACAGGAAGTCAAGCACATAGATTAGGTACACAATTATCAACACTGAACAGCCCCACCCATCCACACAAGCAGGGGCGAATACTGGAAATGAAGGACGTTCAAGTAAGGTTACGGCCTCTGATTGGCTAGAAGGGCTCACCTATCAGTGTTGGGCAAGTTACTTCAAAACTGTAATGCATTATTTATTACTTGTTACCCTCATTTTAAAGTAATTCATTACATTACATTATTACTGATTTTAAAATGTAAGGCATTACACTACTTTTGCATTACTTTAAGTTACTTTCACCAAAACAACTTCAACATGAATCTGGTCATGTGACGCTCAGTGAGCTCATGACATATATGTGGAAGGTGATGTGGTGTCTGAGCTAGGATTGCTGTTAAAAACAGTCAGATATAATAACAGTGCTTTAAAATGATTGTTTATTAAATAACAGCAACAACAATCTGTACTCTCAGCACGCTGCCATCTTATATTAACTGAGCAGGGAGTGAGGTGGTGGGGGCTCCAAGCCTATATTTGCCTTGGTCCCCAAATGCCTTGATACGGCCCTGGATGTGGGACTGACTTCTGGGGTGATCTGATTCTATCACATGTATAAATATTAAATGCTTATATATTATTGCTTTTCACTGGTAAAAATGTGTATTGAGGATAAATCTACCTACTTTTTTCTTTTCAAGCACTTTGTTTTGTTTTCTTGATTTTATTTAATTTGAATAATTGCCGGCCCTTTCTCTCTTTAGCCTTCCTGCATGCTGCATGTTTTCTCCGTCTTCCAGAAAAAACTGTTTCCTAGACTTCGTACTTTCTATCAGCCAGAGGGATCTTCACGTGTGCAGCGCACCAGCAGTAATGAGTTGAAATCACCGGAGCACAGATTAACTCAGCTGAGGCAAAGCACGTCAGAAAAGCACAAAATGCCAGAGAACATGCGCTGATATGAACGATCGCAGGTGAATTATTTTGTTTTAGTGGAGCGATTTTGTGAATGTTACAGCGGCCGCGTGCAGGACGCAGCTGGAGTATTTGAGCCGTTACCGCGACGTCCTCTCTGCCCGCAAAGCTGAGTCCATAAATGACGTAATATATGCAGATACTGGATCTTTCTTCGGGTTTCCCGCAATTGGAATTTTTAAGGAACACGTCTTGATTCTGGGTTTAAAAATGCGTTGTAATTACCGTGTTACTGACAATTGTACCGAGTAAATATTACCATTTTCTTTCCCTGTAATGCCTTACATTACCACATTACAGCAAAAAGCAATGCATTACAGTAATTAATTACTTTTGTACCGCATTACTCCCAACACTGTCACCTACAATAGGACCACGGGTCCCCGGAAGAACAAAAAAATTAATGCAAGTCAATCGGGCTAAAAACGCTATTTTCTGATTCCGCTTGTTATGTTCCATGGATTTCACATATGATGTCTGTGAATTTTAGACACATTTTGGTACCAAGAATGCGCTTATTTTCAACATGTGTGTGTGTGGGGTGGGGGGTGGGGGGTGGAGGGGAGGGGGGAGGGGTGTTGTGTGAAAATAAGTCCAGGACTACAAATGCGCTTCATGAAAGTGACGTCATCGAACCAGACACGGAGAAAATGGCTGCAAGTTCAGCAAACTTCAAATCCTTCCCACCATAAATCTGGTCATGTGGTGAGTCGCAGCTACGCTAGGGGGAGGAGATTATGTGGTGATGTTACATAAGCGATGCGCCGATTTAGTCATGCTAATTACAAACTTTTACCAGCTGATAAGTCTCGATATCTGTGACTGGCGTGGTTGAAACCCCCATCATTATGAATTTTACCAGTGTCTGACGATGACTAGGGGGACTTTAACTTTGACTTTAACTTTAAAGAACAAGAAACAAGAAATAACTGGGGGTGGGCGTAAATACATACCACACTCATTCAAAATGAATTTTAGCACAAGAGCGAGGGGGCAAATACATCTAAATAACAGAAAAGTAATATTTCATCATACAGGAAAGGTTGGGTTTTTGCCACTTGAGTTTTGGCAGCAAAACCATCTTCCCTTGCTACGCCTTTATTTTTTATGTCGGCAGCCGGATCTTATGGAGTTTTGTGAAGAAAATATGAACCTAGAGCTATAATAACCCCTTTGTCCTGATCTTTAACATACGAGTTTGAGTTTCTTTCATAAAAAACCCTGAAACACATCAGATGAGAACGTGTTGTCACAACGCGCCGGAGAGTGAGGCAGATACAAGGATCCACATGCGGGTGAGGGAAGCAGGCAGGCAGACAAACTGGAACGAGTAACAGTCTTTAATGAGGAGAGCACGCAGGACAATGAAACAATGAACCAACCAGACAAAATGGACTAACAGGGTTTAAATACAGGAGGAGCCGGGACCGCGGGGGTGATTGGGAGACGAGAGGCAGGTGGGAGTAATTAACATGGACACAGGACTGAACAGAATGGGGAGACAGGACAGGGTGTGACACGTGTAACAACTCTTGTTGCATTTATCACACTGTCAGATTGACATCAGTTGGTTCTCAAGCACTGAGGTTATCTTATTATTTGTGTGCCAGGCATGGACGCCATTTTCACTTTAGAAGTGTGGGGGGGGGGGCACGGGGGGGGGGGGGTATATCTTTAGAAGAAGAGGAAGAAAATATCATTTCTATAGCGCCTCTCAAGATAAAAATCACGAGGCGCTTCACAAACCAAAAAATTTTAAAATGTAAAAAAGCATTTAGAAAATGTTTAAAAATATATTCAAAATGAGCAAAAATAGACAATTGTGATTAAAAATGTAAAGAAAGAGAGAGAGTGAACAGGAAAGAGGGAAATCAGTGGATCCTGAGGAAGGTGGAATAGGTGGGGAGAGCAGAATAAAGAGAGAGAGGTGAAGAAGGTCATACAAAAGCCAGCTTGAACAGGTGAGTCTTCAGCTGCTTTTTAAAGGAGACCACTGAGTCCACTGATCTCAGGCTCAGGGGGAGAGAGGTCCAGAGTCTGGGGGCCACAGCAGCAGATGATCTGACCTTTGACCTTTAGCCTGGTGCTGCACAACCAGTAGGCTTTGATCACTGGACCTCAGGGACCTGCTGGGGGTGTAGGGACTAAGAAGATCACCAATGTAAGATGGTGCTTGTCCATGTAAGGCCCTATAGACCAGAACCAGGATCTTGAAATGAACCCTGAAGTTGACTGGCAGCCAGTGAAGCTGGAGGAGAAGCGGGGTGATGTGGGTGTGTTTGGAGGACTTGGTCAGAAGCCGAGCACAGGCGTTCTGAACCACCTGTAGACGGTTCAGGGAGGTTCTGCTCAGACACGTGAAAAGAGAGTTACAGTAGTCTAAGCGTGAGGAGATGAAGGTGTGGAGAACTGTCTCAAGTTCAGAGCGGGACAGAATGGGACTCAGCTTAGCAACGTTCCTGAGATGGAAGAAGGAAGAGCCAACAAGAGAACTGACATGAGAATCCAGGGTGAGAGCTGGGTCAAAGGTCACGCCAAGATTCCTGCCGTCCGCTAGTTAGCAGTAGTGTGCAATGGAGTTTGTTTCCACCACTGAAGGTTCAGATACCTCATGTTAATCATATTAAGTATCAGTTTGGACCATTTATTGAATTTTCCTACAATAAATGTATAGTCTAAAAAAATTGCTAATATCGTCCGACTGAATATATCGCAAAATATCGTGATAAGTATCGTATCGCCAGAATTTCACCAATACACATCTCTAATTAACAGGGATAAATGAATCCTACTTACCATTTTCTCTTTGCTTTTTCTGTATCCTGTAAAATAACCAAAAATAAAAAGCAGTTAGATTTTTTACTGTAAATGACGTCAGTATTTAAACATGTTAGAGAAAATTTAGCTCTCCTAAAGGTCGCTGTGAAGAAAGCATATGGAAACATATGTGCTAACAAAATGTGTCAGAAACGGAAAGATTTAACTATGTTAACCCAAAGCTTCATGAAAAGGAGAAGCTAAACGAAAGCAGTTTGAAACTGGAAAACATGAAAGGACCTGATAACTCGACACATCTTCATTCGTCAGTCATCATCCGTTGCTTCCTCAAGTCACGGTTGAAGACCTGTTTCTATGATATGGCTTTTGGACAGTGACTCTATTTTAATGTTCTGTTTCCCTTTTTAATTCGTTTTTGGTTGTTTTAATTGATTATTTATTGACTGTTTTTAACTAATATTACAGGGTATCCGCGGGTCCTTAAAAAGTCTTAAAAAGCCTTAAATTTGCTTTTCCAAATTTAAGGCCTTAAAAATCCTTAAAAATGACAAACAATCCTTAAATCCAGTTTCCAAAGGTCTTAAATTACCAAAGACCAGATAAACAAGATAATTGTATTTCTATAAAAAATTCGTGAATTTCTAGTTAGTGTTCAGCATTTTTTGTGTACGATATTGGCGTTAGCGGAACCGTACACATTCAGCTGGTTGTGAAAGGGGGCTATTTTTAAATGAGCACATTAGCTGGTTAAGCTAGTGGGGAAGTGCAAGTTTAATGGTAACTGGATGGCTAATCCCATGTTCGTGACATGGTTAGCACCGGTTCCAGGCAAAAGCTGGAAATTAAAGTTTAAATGTAATTTAAAAAATTTGCTTAAATTTTGTCAAAATGGCCTTAAAAAAGGTCTTAAAAAGTCTTAAATTTGGCTCCCTTAAACCTGCAGATACCCTGTATAAGTGATCCTTTTATGATTATTAGCTGTGCAGCACTTTGGTCAGCTCGCATGCTGTGCTGAAATGTGCTCTATTAAATAAAATGGTATGGTAACCATAGAAATACAGATGTCCTTGTCTCGAGCTTCCGCTGGACTTAATGTGAAGGTGATCAAAGTAATTCATACAAAAAATCACAAAACAAGGACTAAAGACTGTACAGGTGAACAAATGTTAATGATAGTCATCATCAGTAAAGAACAGGGGCCTCGTTTATAAAGTTTCATGTTCATGCGCAAAATGAGCGTGAACGTGTCATGACTCCCAATCTTTCATCCTCCTCTGCCTCCTCGTCAAGCCTTCAGCCTTCATGCAGCACACCTGGTCCCCTCATCAAGCTCCAGCCAAGCCCCGTTTCCACAGCAACCTCAGCCTGCACCTCATCAGCTCCATTCATCTCACCTGTTCCTGTAATCAGCTCGTCCCACACACCTGCTCCCTCTGCTATTTAACTCCCAGCCTGCTCTCCAACCGTTGCCAGATTATTGAACGCTCCTTGCTAGTAAATCTTCCAGCCTTGTACCCTGCCTGATCTCAGCCTCCGGACCTCAGTTTCACTCCTGACCCCTGCCTTGAACTCTGCCTGCCACCACGACCTTCGCCTGTCCGCTACCTCGTCTCCAGCCTGTTCCCTGCACCTGCTTGTCCGATCTGGTTTTTGACTCACGCCTCCTCTCCAACTCTGTCTCCAGCCTCACCCTCCTCTGGTAACTCCACATCTAATAAAGACTTTATTTAAAGAGCAAGTCACCCCCTACAAGAAACTTACTTCACTCCCACTTCATGTTTGAAAAATGCAACAAATGCTGTTGCTTGGTAGACCGAGAGGGTGGAGCCACTAACAAATACACACACAGGCTCACAATGGCATTATGACATCATAATGTACCAGATGTCATCATAGCATACCTCTTAGCCAATAGCGGTGGCAGATTTAAATTCAAATACATTGCAGAATTTTTCCCTGACGATGGCGCAACACTGCCAGTTTTAGGCAGAATATTTGAATTTTAACCAAGATACACTGAACTGCCAAGTTATTGACGACACGTGTCTGTAGCATGATTAGACACTCCTTTATATAGTTTATCAGCAAAAAAAATGTGATTTGGGGGTGACTTGCTCTTTAACTTTTACTGTGTTTGGCGTCATCACGGGTCTTCCGAGTTCTGATCGTGACAGAAAGCTGCTTCTTTCACTCTCCAGGCAAACTTTGTGATTGTAGGAAAGACAAAAGACAAACGCTGACCCTGGTGGAAGAACTTGTAGACATGGGGAAATGAGACCCTGAATGAAAATATTTAACTTTCAAGGTACGTTTATGTGGACACATCCAAATTACTTGATGGTACATTAATTATCTGACAGACGACACTGATTGGTGTTAATCAGAACTATAAGAGCCATAACCGCTTTGATTAGTCGCTGAGATTGTGCCGCCTGCAGCTGCTGCGCTCACGGGTTTCCTACACCTGGCTCATTCCAGTGAGAATTGGATGACAGGCGGGGTGAAATTTGTTTGATATGATGAAATTAAATGTTTTCATAAAATGTTCCACTTAAACCTGGAATATCTCCACGATCCCTGTGAACCCTGATGCAGCCGTTTTGGACGACATCAATGACCATTAGCATCTTCATCTTTGCCTCCACCTTCAGATCTGACCACTTGCTTTTTCTTTTTATGTCTTCCATGATCTCTCTCTGGCTCTGCCACACAGAGAATTCACTGCTGCAACAACCGTGTTTCACTGGAAGGCAATAAGACTTTGTTCCGGGCGACACACAAGCACCTAGTGAATTTGTGTTGTCTCAGTTGCCAGGGTTACCCATGAAATACCATAGCTTATTTAGGGTATTCAGAAAGGGCTTTGCATTGACAGCTTATAGCAGAAAGTGGGTGTAGGAGGAGGGATGTAATCCAAAAACACCTGAGACATTTCTAAATGACTTTAAGTACATTTCTTTTGTTGTTCTTAATTATTTGAAATGAGGCCCCTGGACTTTAAACCCCCCTTTTGAAATTGTAAATATTGGGATTTTTAATGTTTTTCCATCATCCTGTCATCAGTCAGAAATTTAAACTAAATAAATTTAAAAACTTTATTTGAATCAGCTTTTATGAAACGATTTCCCATTGATTCCTCCTGATTCAAAGAAAAAGAAGCAATAAAATTTTATACAGTCCCTCAATAAAAATGACAAGGCACTTCACAAGAACAATAAAAAATAATTAAAAAACAAAAGAACAAATGAATAAAAAATGATGAAATCGAGAAAAGTAATAAATTGATAGAAAATGCGAGGAAAGAGAAAATGAATAAGAAGTAATCAGTGGGTCCCGGGAAAGGCAGAGTTGGCAGAAAGAGCTGAATGAGGAGGAGGAAGTGATGAAGAATCAACAGGTCACACCGAAGCTTGAACAGGTGAGCTGCTCTTTAAAGGAGACCACTGATCTCAGGGTCAAGGGTTCAAATAAATCAGTCTGAAAGCAGAAAAATTCTGCAGATTTTTGAAAAATAAATTCTAAATAAAGAGAAACAAAATTAAAACAAAGGTGAGTGGAAAACAAAACCAGATCATTCCAACATAAAACCTCTTGCATTATAAAGTTAAAGTCCCATTAGTTGTCACACACACAGGTGTTCTCCGCATTTGACCCATCCCCTGGGGGAGCGGTGAGCTGCAGACACAGCCGCGCTCCGGAACCATTTGGTGGTTTAACCCCCCAATCCAACCCCTTAATGCTGAGTGTCAAGCAGGGAGGCATTGGGTCCCATTTTTTCTAAGTCTTTGGTATGACCCGACCAGGAATCTAACCCCTGATCTCCCAGTCTCAGGGCGGACACTCTACCACTAGGCCACTGAGAAAGGTCAATCACATGAAATTATGTACAAGGATAATTATGGAGGAAGGCTCACCTTTGCTGGGCTGGCACTGCTGTAGAACCAAACACCCACAACAGCAGAACCAATAGCTTCATCCAATCCATGGCCATAGAAGAAGAGTGAGGAGCTGCTCTCCAGCCTTTATATAAGGGACCAGGATGGGTTATGGGGAGATGGAGACTGATTCACTGTACAACGTGATATTGCAAGAGGTAAATGAGTAACTGTCAGTGATAGGGACCGGGTGTGGCCCTATAGGTGGAGAGGTAGGTGTGTGGGTCCAGAAGTATTTTGACCTCGAAAGGTTCATGAGGAGGGTGGGGGTGCCCATCAAGCACTGAATGACAAGAACATGAACAGTAATAAAGTAATGAGATAAAAATCAGAAGACTTTGATCACATGAACACACCTGTTCACAGGGGTGGCCACACTGACTACTATCTCACAGTGGCTTTGCACAATGTATACACAGTGTCCTCAAATCTGCCTTTAAAAATACCCATAGTCAAATATCTTTCTTTCTTTGCCTTATATTGATAATAATAATAATAATAATAATAATAATAATAATAATAATAATACTGTAATTAAGAACCTGCTCAAGCCATCAACCATCCTCAGTACTGGTGATTTATTTTTAGTACCCTGCTGTATGTCAGAACCCAAGTCCCCAAACCAGCCTCTCCCAGCTAGCTGGCCTCCACCATGGACCACAACTCCCAGCATGCCCCTCGCGGGGATTCCCTCCACGTCGCACCTACGTCACGAACCGCGACTATATACGGAAGTCGCCTCCCCAGCTCACCACTCAGTCATTATTTCTTCGGATCTATGATCAGAGTTTCCAAACAACCGTTCCATCATACGAACTCTCAGCTCACAGTAAGTGTTCTTACTTACTTCTGGAAAACCCAGCATTTCTGTGTCACTTCATTGACGCTTGAACACTCGGGGATTCCTAGATTAAATCGTGCGCCGGCGTTTCACAGACGCTATCGCTTCCGCGTCTGTGAAACCACGCTCTCTACCAACTCAACTCCTGAATCCAGCCGACCAGTCTGACACTGTACTTCCGCTTCACCTCCGACTGTACTGCTTCCCATCATCAAATTTGCTGATGACACTTTAGTGTCTGGTCTCATGTCCAATAGCGATGCGTTCGCCTACAGAAATGAGGATGAGAGACTGGAGATACGGTGCCAAACTAACAACCTGCAGCTGAACATCAGCAAAACCAAAGAGAAGGTAGCAGACCTCAGGAAGAAAGAGCAAGGCTCCTACTCCCCATTGGTGGTGTTCCATGGTAGAAAGAACAGGAAACACCAAATACCTCAGAGTCCAACTAACAAGCAAAACTCACCTGGTTTACATCCACACTCAGCTCAAGCAGGTGAGACAGCGGCTCTACCACCCAAGGCAGCTGAGGAGAATCGGGGTCCCTTCTGGGATCCTCAAAACACAGCCGCTGTGGAAAACATCTTGACCATGAGCATCACATGTTTGTTGGGCAACAGCACCATACAAGACTGTAAAGCCCTGCAGAGAGTGATGAGAGCAGCTGAGCGCTGCACCAGATTCAAACTGCACTTCCTTCAGGACATCTATATCAGACGCTGCAGAGGCAGAGCCACCAAAATCACCAGGGACATTTCACACCCACGCAGCTCTCTGTTTCGGCTGCTGGACTCAGGGAAGCGGTTCTGCAGCCTGACGGCCAGAAGCTTTTACCCACAGAGTATAAGACTCCGCAATCAGATCACGCCCTGCTGTCGTCGTCTTCCTCCGCTTATCCGGGTCCGGGTCGCGGGGGCAGCATCCCAACTAGGGAGCTCCAGACCGTCCTCTCCCCGGCCACCTCCACCAGCTCCTCCGGCAGGACCCCAAGGCGTTCCCGGACCAGATTGGAGATGTAACCTCTCCAACGTGTCCTGGGTCGACCCGGGGGCCTCCTGCCGGCAGGACATGCCCGAAACACCTCCCCAGGGAGGCGTCCAGGAGGCATCCTGACCAGATGCCCAAACCACCTCAACTGGCTCCTTTCGATCCGGAGGAGCAGCGGTTCTACTCCGAGCCCCTCCCGAATGTCCGAGCTCCTCACCCTATCTCTAAGGCTGAGCCCGGCCACCCTACGGAGGAAACTCATTTGGGCCGCTTGTATCCGCGATCTCGTTCTTTCGGTCATTACCCAAAGCTCATGACCGTAGGTGAGGATTGGGACGTAGATCGACCGGTAAATCGAGAGCCTGGCTTTCTGGCTCAGCTCCCTCTTCACCACGACAGATCGGCTCAGCGTCCGCATCACTGCAGACGCCGAACCAATCCGCCTGTCGATCTCCCGATCCCTCCTACCCTCACTCGTGAACAAGACCCTGAGATACTTAAACTCCTCCACTTGAGGTAGGACCTCTCCCCTGACCCGGAGTTGGCAAGCCACCCTTTTCCGGTCGAGAACCATGGTCTCAGATTTGGAGGTGCTGATCGCCCTGCCACTATAACTAAAACTAACACTGGTCACCTTATACACTGCAATTCTCACATTATGATCGACATATGCATGTCATTTTGTCAACTGCCATAGCCTGCTCCCTCATTCCACATGCTAATACCTTGTTATATTCCCTTACACATACGCCCTACTTGTATTTACATGCATATTCCTGATTCGTCAGTTCTATTTAAGTTAATCTTTTCCTACACGCTCACGCTTTTGCCTGCTGGTACCGTACAGCTTTGTTTCTACAGCACATTTTATAAATACAGCATGAGAGCTGTCCAAAGTGCTGCACAGGCACATTCATTAAAAACAAGCAAGACAGAGAAACAATCCTAATAAAACCATCAATACCAGGCAGTAAACGCAATAAAAGAGTCCCTGGCTGAAGACCGAGCCATAAAAGTTGGTCTTTAAACGAAGTTTAAAACGGCCAGCGTGTCTAACTGTGTACTGTACTGAACTCCAGAGCATGGGAGCAGCACACAGACACCTGTTCTCCCTGTGACTTGTAGGAAATACAGGTTGAGCACAGTGGCAGGAGGTCACCTGGCCTCAGTGCATGCACGGGTAAAAAGGGAGTGAGCAGGTCAGAGAGAAAAGTCAAAGTCCCATTAGCTGTCACACACACACAGGTGTGTGTGCAAAATTTATTCTCCGCATTTGACCCATCCCCTGGGGGAGCGGTGAGCTGCAGACACCGCCGCGCTCGGGAACTATTCGGTGGTTTAACCCCCCAATCCAACCCCTTATGCTGAGTGTCAAGCAGGGAGGCGTTGGGTCCCATTTTTTCAAAGTCTTTGGTATGACCCGACTAGGAGTCGAACCCTGATCTCCCAGTCTCAGGGGGGACACTCTACCACTAGGCCACTGAGAAAGGTAAGATGAGCTAAGAAGGTGCTAGGCCATTTAGGGCTTTGAACAGAAACATCAGTCTCTTAAACTAGGGTGGCCAAACATTCTCTTTTCCCTGGACATTTCCACTTTTCACTCTCTGTCCAGGGCATCTGGGGTGGTTTCCTATATTGGTGAAAATGTCCAGGTTTTTATCCAGGAGCAGTGCTCGAACAGTGGGAGAGATGGAAGCTCTTAACCCTTTGCAGGGCCAACGTCCGGATTAAGACACTTCAACTCACATCATGAGTGATGTCTGTGACGTTGGTGTAAGTAAGTAAGTAAAGTTTATTTATATAGCGCCTTTCACAGATATAAATCACAAAGCGCTGTACAAGATGAGTAAAAAGTGCCTTTTCACAAACTCAGAATCACAGAATTTCACCCAAAGAAACCATCAGAGATCAAGCTAGTCACAGTTAGCGCCATAACGCCATTCCACCAATCAGTGCGGAGTTTAGCTCATTGTTGGGTAATTTTATCAATCCAGGATTACCTTAGGGAAAGTTTAAAGCACAGGGGGTTATTGTAATCAATCAATAAACACCAATGCCAATTCATAAACAATCAATTTAGACTTTGCAAAGTGGAGAGGAAACGACACACACCACACAATGGTTGTCAGGTCACTCTCATCAGACAGAGTCTTCCGAAAGCATTTATTAAGCACACACACAAAAGATTGACGCACACACATTTTGACATTCCTTAGACTCTCAGGCGGAAAGCCGTAAAAAAGGGAGACAAAGCTTTCTCCAGGTGCACTCTAAATCAACAAAGCAGTCTGGACTTTCTCAAGGGAGTTTTACTGATAAAGGTGGTTTCAAGGCTAGGTCATCAACCTAAAACCCAGTCCTCCCTGTGAGACCTGCAAGAGCCTGTCTAACTGAGTAAAATAAATGGATGAAGCTACGTTTAAACAAACACCAGATGTTTAACAGTCAAAACATTAATTCAATAATGTTAATATCAGTTTTCATCCATCACTGATGTGTCTGCAGAGCCAGAAAACTGCTCGGTCTCCTCTTGTGTTTACAGTCAGATCTCTAAAACCAACAATGCTAGGTTTATGAAACTCTCACATCACCAGGTTGGCTAGTTGTGCTAAATAAGGATACATGTGTGAAAATGTTAAACTCAATAAAGTTAGTGAAATCTTAGCATCAAAATCAGATCTACCATATTTGAACATTTAAAGTAAAAGTAAAACACATTATGTATATTTTTAGTTACAATCTGTTGTTTTTAGACATAATCTTAATATTCTTGGTAACAGTAATAACAACAATTATAATATTGAATATATTTTACAGTTTAAAATTAAGATTTCTCTGGGAAATTGAGGAGGACAGTTATTGTGCCAACCAATCTCGCCATCAGTGATGATGATGATGAAAAGGAGGAAGATGACATTGAGGCAGATCCTCAAATATAAAATATTCTAATGATCTGTATTTGATCAGAAATTGTATCTATTGTTCAATATATTTTCAAAAGTATTCCACAATAATCAGTTTTTATAAAAATATACCAGATAATTTAATAATTGTGATATATTCTGTATTATCGAACAGTGATGTAATGTTCTAAAATGAGCTAGATTATTCTAAAGTGCCTTATAATTATTTATATTATTCAAAAATAATGTTTATTTAACTTGCTCATGTGTTTTATTTTGGGATTTCTTTTACCAGAACAGGACCAACGTCCAGATTTGATCACTTTGTTTTCTCTGATTTTCTGCATGAAAAGAATTTTTTTTCAAGTGTGATGCATGTTGTTTATTTTTA